ATATCTAGAAAATAATTTCTTTGAGCTCGATGGAAAGACAGATGGAAGGGTGGAGGACGGACATGACAAAAACTAATACATGTATTCCTAATCATGGCGTAGCATAAAAAACTTGAATATACATTATATGAGGATGTTTCCATATCAAGATTATACATGCAAATTCAAAGAATTGTGGTCCTTTGCTTTCTGTGTTTAAGTGAATGGGATGCCATAATTTATGGCAGATTGTGTATCAAATATGCATCCCTATCATATGTCACTTTATGAAAATTAGGTCAAAGGGGGGAAATCATCGCATGCTCGAAATATTTTGTTGCAGGTAAAGTACATGTCAAATATGAAAGACCCATCTCTTTTCAATCAAAAGTTATATATATATATATAAATATATAATATAATATTTTTGAAAAGTAGGTTAAACTTCTAGGTCAAGATCAGATAGTCAAAAGTCATGATATATTTAGAAAAGTCTTTTCACATGTAATATTATACATATATTACATGGCTTCGAGGGCAGCATACCAGAATATTTGCCCCAAGGTGACAGGAAAGCCCTGGAGTGTTATGTCGCCCGATGCCGCAGGCAGAGGGCGACATAACACTCCAGGGCTTTCCTGTCACCGAGGGGCAAATATTCTGGTATTGCTGCCCGAGAATTAAGCCATGTAATATATGGTATATAACATTTTTTAGGAATGGAACCCAAATCGATCATCGAACATATTTATTGAACACATATGTACGTTGAGAATAATTCCGAAATATCCCGTCCTGTTTCATGGCAGAATGTTTTCAGTATGCTGACATTTGTGTTGATAACCTTTGTTGTACTTAAAGAATTTTTCTCCTCAATTAAATTATCTAATTCCTCTGAATTCAAATAAACAAATCGCAGACGTTGTCTCGACTTTTTAACTTTCGCGGAACTGTTTACATTTGCATGGCAACTGCCTCTGTGAATTTCGAACCCGACGTAATTAATATGCAGAATGATTGCGCGCGAGGGAACATAACTGTGTTCGGGAGGGCAACATAACTGTTTCCGGGGAACATAACTGTATCCGGCGTGATTCGGCAGTATTTCAGGGCATATGTATAAAAATATTATATTTGTGATATAATGGGAAAACTTCTTCAAAAATGTTATATACATGTATAATTTAAATGCCATATCTTTTCTCTTTCAAAATGTTTAATTTAAAATGTTATTTTTTGGAAAGTAGGTAAAATTTTGAGGTCAAGGTCTCACTTGGGTTAAAAAATCATAGTACATTTAGAAAGTTTTGTGGTAATGTACATGTGAAATATGAAAGCCCTATCTCATATTATTCAAAAGTTATGATCAAGGTTAAATTTATTGTGACGGATGCACATACTGTCAAAGATGGCCAGACTGACAGACAAATAAGATTTAATGTTCCCTCCCTTTCCCCCAAAACGGGGGACAATAATGCCCTTGCTGTTCTTGAGAAGAAGATTTATGATGGAAAAAATCCCCTGCATATTTCTTAACACAAATCAATATTGTGTTTTTATGTCATTTAATTGTTTGTTTGTTGTTAAACATCCCTCTCAGGAATTTTTCACTCAAATGGAGAGATCACCCCCACTTGAAAAATAATGAGGACAAGTTTGAGGTCAACATTCATTTTAGGAGTTTTCAACCATTAAGACGTAAAGAGACAGGAACTCGATCCTTCCCCTCACCCCATCCCAGACCCCTGTTTATATTCATGACATGTATGCAAACTAGGTTGATGAATGAAATGTCAAGCAATCTTATCATTGATGCACTTTTATTTCATTTAATGCAGTCATAATTTGTGAACATTTCCAGTTAGAATCATTAGGAGAGTGGGGATGACCTCCAGGGGGTTCAAAACCTTTATACCATTAAATTTACATAACATAATAACACAAAAAGCGCAAAATTATGTATGGTCAAATGGAAAAAGTTTCCCACTATTTAGGAGTCACATGATCATTTGCCATTACTGTTTACAGGGACTGGAAGTGTATCTTGAGATCCCCCCCCCCCCCGAATTTGCAGGACTATAATATAAAAAAGACTTTGGATGCCCTCCACCCTAGAAAACAGACACCACCATAACTTCTCCTTTTATTTGCTTCTCAGGAAATTCTGGTCTGGAAGTCCCCCCTCCCTCTCAGAAAAAAATTCTGTATTTTGTAACTGAATGTAACGTCGATAACGGGCGATAACTCTTTAGAATGTGAAATTCGTCTTATTGCAGCATCGGATGACCTTTGATCCTTTAAACTTTAACCTAACCAGTTGCATTTCAGACTATTTTACCCAAATCTATACCAAAACGTGTACTTACCGACTGCCATAGCTCCAACTTCATGAAATATAATCCAAATAAACACAAAATAATTCCAACTGACATACATGCAATGATGTGTACACAACACTACGCCTAGTACTGCACGTGCAGTGCTATAGATCTAAAAATGATAATGGTAAAACTAGTACTTAAGTCAGGTACGTGACGCAAGCCCAATGTGATGCAAGTCTTCAGATACATTTACAGTATAAGAACAAATTTAAAATTATTATTTACAAAAGATGTTTATCTTAACTTTGCCATCTAGGCCTATTTCCAAAAACAGGAAAATAGGGTGTGTTTGCGTGTGTGTGTTGATGGGAGAAGGGTGGGGGTTGACTAAATTGATTGGGTATACATGGTATATGGCAGCTTTCAAGGTGTTTCTGCCTAATCAAGTATAAAAAAGTTTGTACATTTTGGAAAAAATCATCAAAAACGCTTTAAACTAATTTGAATAATATTTGTTGTTGATCTATATGAGGAAATAGATTTAAAAAGTTCCAATTATGGGCCAAAAATTTAACCCCCCCCCCCTTGTTTCAAACCTAATTTACATCATTAATTGAATTCTGTTGTTTAATTTCAGACTGGTAATGAATTATGAATATGAAATACATGTACCTATAAGATCGAGGCCCATGGGTCACATGTTCACTTGAGAATATTATGCTCAATTTGATGAGTACATGGAGGCCCTATTATGTAAATTATTAAATTATATTGACTTTTTCTTTGGTAAAGCCTAATTTTAGAGGAGTGTGCATTTAGAGGCAAACACCTTAGTGCGGGTATTACTGTCTCATGACAGCATCTAGTATGTAGTTGTAGATGGTTGAGATAAACATCTTTGCTTTAGTCATGTATTACAAAATAATAACTGATAAAGAGTTATCGATTGAAGACTTTTGGCCCCTCATGGCCCCTAATTTAAGTGCCCAGCCCCTTTTTCTTGATTTCATCTTAAAGCTCTTTGGATTTTGAACACTTTTTGTTCAACAATTATTCAGAGATTCTTTTTCGTTTTCTTATTATTTTCAAAAGAAATATTTAGGGGCCAACCCTTGAACTCCTTAATGGGGACGTTTAGCGAAAAATGAAAGGTTACATATTGTTCAAAACATTATTTTGAACATCTTTTGTTCAATATTACTTATCAAAATATTTCTCACTTTCGAGATATAAAGCGTCAAAGATTTAGCATTCTGGCCCCTTGTGGCCCCTAATTATGTACCATATGACACTTAAATCTTAATGTATAGTTGTAGATTGTTGAGATAAACATTCGTAGTACAGTTAAGGCAACATTTTCTATAAAAACTCACGGAATCCGATACATATAATGTTTAACAGTTTTATTTTTTAGCAAGACACTCTAGTATTTGTTACCTTGAAGAGTATGTCCATCGCTTTTCACAATGGTATTTTTTGACATCATGTGACCCCCTGAAGTCACCTGGGCTCTGATTTTAAGTCAAAAAATGAGATGTCAAATTTAACCAAAAAGTGCAAGGGCAAGGCAAACAAAAAATCAACTGCATAATGTTTTATGTTGTCTCTATGTATCTATACTTTCTCAAAAGTGATGCTCATTCAGTTAGTTTTCCGATATAATTAAGTTATTCAGCTAAACCAGACGGTTATGTATGAAAAAAGGATATTTTCCTAATTTCATCGCGAAATATAAATTAACTAAAGGATTACAAAGAAATAAGCATCACTTTTTGAAAACTATACAATAAAATAAATAATTTAAAATAAAAATGTACTTTTTAGATTGTCGCCTTGCCCTTGCACTTTTTGATTAAAATTGAAATCTTGGAAGAGTCAATCTAATTATAGTTTTCAAACGCATCATTGACCCAGCATGGGAGATAACTCTTGAGTACTTGATACGGTTTGTTTACCTCGTAAATTTTAAATAAATATACATGCGGACAGGGCTGGACCCTTTTTATTTTACTAAATCAAAATGGTATGCATAAAATCCTTGACATTTCTTTCTTTTCTGTGTATTCGTTCTCCATACGTTGTATACAGTTAATTCTTTCAAACCTCCCGCATTTCCTCAAAGATGTGTATATACATGAATAGGTCTAAATATTGCCGATATATTTATGTGGAACACAAAAGGTTAATTAAAATATAGCCTTCATTAATAATTAATTAGATATCTATTCCCCTCTCTCACTTCTGTACGCAAAGGCGTCGGAACCCGGGGGGGGGGGTGGCTTAGCCTCCCTACTTATTTGCAAATTATATACATAATGTAGGCATTGGAATTTACCTTTTTCTTTTGGTTTAGCCCCCCCTTTCAATTAGCCCCCCTTTATTTTTGTTTCCGACACCTATGGTACACACACCAGCTTGTGTTAATATTTTTTTTCTTTCTGCATACGAGATCATGTTCAGATCTACGATCGCTTTCTACGATCGCTTTCAATCAGACCGCTTACTGTTTTAAAATTAAGGGATATAAACTAAGTTATAAGTTTTAGGAACTAATTAAAGAGGATTGTGGTATACACCTGTATTTGTTAAGGGGATAGCCATTTTATTTTGAGGGTGAGGGGCTGGCAGATTTTAGAAATAAATACTTGCAGATCAGTGATCTCCCCCTCCCACGAATCAGAGTTTTTTTTTACATTTTTTTTTTTTGCATGTTAGACTTTTCAATGAAAAGGAAAATAAATAAATAATCTGTCCTTCATCTAATTGATCCGAAATAAATATTAATCTTTCCTTCATTGACATGAAAATGAAAAAAAAATCTGACTTGGAAAAACTCGCCTGCCCCCCCCCCCCCCCGAACAAATGGTGGTCCCCTATCCTATTTTGAATCAATTAGGGGGATCTCTAGTCTCCTGTTTTTGGTCATATTATTGAAAAATAAATGAACACAATGCACATGCTGGAAATAAGATCTTGATGGACATTAGTACCCTCCACACAAAATAGTATGCAAGTTAAGATTTTCAAATCTTAATGGCCTTTTCAACACCTGTACAGTAAATATATGAAAAAGTCAAATTATTTATCTAGAAAATTTATTTAATAAACATTTCTTTTCAAATCCAATGACAGACTGTAGGAATGCTGGGCAGGTGCAAATTATTTCCATCACTTCATGTTCTTGTGGATAAAATGAATTCTGAAAATATAAGAAAATCAGGAAATACCGTTATTGAAAGTAATTTGTGTTTTAAAAAAATGAAATAAAAAAATATATTGAAACATTTAAAAAAGGATGCATATACATGTTTTCAATTCTTCTGTTAGTTTTATTATCAAAACTTTGCATGGTTTATACACTGTACATGTAGCTAATATTGAGCATACCATTTTCCTTAAATGGTGGATTAACTTGCTGCCTGAATGAGTCCGTTTGTCCAACAGTTAGGAATAGCTAGGCCTACAACACAATATATATGCAGTTACATGCCATGAGATTACTAAATATACATTGTAGAATAAAATGGCATTACTTTGACAAAACAAATTATGCTACATTGTATACTGTAGTGAATTTATATTAACCATATAAATGGGGAAAAAATGTGTTACAAAACTTCTCTGGGAAAGTGAAACCTCTGACATTTACAATAGTTATTGATAGAATATTTTCTAAAAAGAATTGTAAGTTTCTCTTTTACCAAACTGAAAAAAACCCAAAATGTAAAGTACATGCAAACTTTAAAAATGTGAAATGCTTTAGAAGTATACATACCCTGTGGAGAAATGATGCATTTTTTATTTATTCATTCTTTAAGACTGAAACTCTGGACAACAGCTACAATGATAAAAGTATTATATAAATATTTTTAATGTACATGTAATCTAAACAAAAAATGAATATTTTTTTTCATTGATTTAGAAATTCTAGGAAATTACAACCATAGATCTGATATGGGGCTTCTATATATGTTTTCAACACAATGATACTGATATTTTTTTTTTAAATTGTGTAGCATATTTGTATGTCAAAAGACATCATTGCTTGTTTAGGCCTAGTCACTAGTGAATCATTGACTGAAACAATGAAAACATCTCATTTAATTTAGTTTAAATTTGTGTTACTGATGACCTCCATTATTACACATATTGTCTCAAAGAAAATGAGCTAATTGACAGGAACTCAGTACATATTTAGTGCAATTAATTTTTAATAATTCTAAAAAGTGTGCAACTTGAACTTAGTATGGGAGGGGGGGTTACACAGAAGACACTGCATTACAGTTTTTCACTGACTGTGATAATACATTTAAATGAACATGAACACACTCGGGTTTTTTATGTTAAGAAAAGCATGTCTACATATTGTAGATCTACACATGTACCTACATATGGGTATACATACCTGGCCTGGAATTACAGTGCAGTGATGGATTTACGGAGCTGGTGCAAATCGTCTGTTTTCTGCTATTTTCCGAAAAGTTAATGTGCTCATATTCTCGTAAAAGGGAGAAGCAATGCCTTGTCTCTTATTTTATCCCTATTTTCTTTAATGATGTCGCCACGTTTTTAGATGTAAACAACATTCCGAGTCACCGAGTACAAGCGCTTGGCTGAAGCCGAATGCAGACAAACGACACATTAAAAATAATTAAAGACATGCTATTTTATATACGAGAAAATCACTAATTATTTTCTATTTAAACATGAAGATATTGCTTTATTACAAATTCTTGCAAATATCGGTAAATAGTTATTTTGAGCACCATTTCCTTATATGGATCAATCAGGGCGGAGCAACTGTCATGACGTCAGACCTCATTATGACTTCATTACCATATTTTTTTCATGTGTTGCCTTAACTGTACTGCGTTTTTGCTTCAGTAATGTATTACAAAATATTAACTGATAAACAACAACTATTCAGAGATTCTCTTTCATTTTCGAGTTATTTGCATAAGAAATATTTAGGGGCCAACCCTCCAACTCCTTAATGGGGACGTTTAGCGAAAAATGAAAGGTTTCATATTGTTCAGAACTTGATTTTCAACATCTTTTGTTCAATATTACTTATCAAAATATTAACCAAATTTGAGATAGGAAGCCTCAATGATTTAGCATTTTGGCCCCTTACTATGTAACATACGACATTAAAATCATAATATTTAGTTGTAGATTATTGAGATAAACATATTTGCTTCAGTAATGTATAACAAAATATTGACTGATAAAGAGTTATCGATTGAAGAGGTTTGGCCCCTCTCAGCCCCTTAGTTGAGTGCCCAGCCCCTTTTTCTGGATTTTATCTTAAAGCTCTCAAAATTTTGAATACTTTTTGTTCAACAACTATTCAGAGATTCATTTTTCTTTTCGAGATATTAGCAAAAGAAATATTTAGGGGCCAACCCTTTAACTCCTTAATGGGGACGTTTAGCGAAAAATGAAAGGTTGCATATTGTTTAGAACATTATTTTGAAAATCTTTTGTTCAATATTACTTATCAAAATATTTCTCACTTTCGAGATATAAAGCGTCAAAGATTTACCATTCTGGCCCCTTGTGGCCCCTACTTATGTATCATAAGACATAAAAATTATAATACATGTATATAGTTGTAGATTGTTGAGATAAACATTTTTGCTTCAGTAATATATAACAAAATATTGACTGATAAAGAGTTATCGATTGAAGACTTTTGACCCCTCTTGGCCCTTTTTTGAGTGTCCAGCCCCTTTTTCTGGATTTTACCTTAAACCTCTCAGGACTTTGAACACTTTTTACTCAACAACTATTCAGAGATTCTCTTTTGTTTCCGAGTTATTTGGAAAAGAAATATTTAGGGGCCAACCCTTCAACTCCTTAATTGGGACGGTTAGCGAAAAATAAAAGGTTGCATACTGTTAAGAACATTATTTTGAACATCTTTTGTTCAATATTACTTTGCAAAATTTTCCCAATTTTTAAAATATAAAGCGTCAAAGATTTAGCATTTTGACCCCTAATTATATCAAGGAAAAAAAAGGCCCTCGCTGACCTTAATTATAGGGGCCAGCCCTTTTTTCGAGATATCATTTGAAAGGTCATGTAATTCTACACTTCTTTTGTTCTGCATGTTTTAACAAAATATTTCTAGGTAAAAAAATATCGAAGAAAAAGTGTCAGAAATTTAGAATTTTACGCTAGGACTATTTTCGGACCATAGCGAGCGTCGGCGTTTCGTACATCCGGTAGTTATGAAATACTTAGTGCACTTCTCCAAAGGATGCTCTAGCATCACTGAAAATTTCATGCTTCTATGTTCAGTGCTTTTTGAGAAAACGGCAGGACAAAGTGCCCCTCTAAAATTCACTAAATCGCAGAAAACTCCAAACCGGAAGTGACGTCATCAAGATAAAAAAATATATGTCTAGATCTTTTAATGTTCTATCAGACCTGAAAGTTTCATAAAAATAGAAACCTAAGAAAAACAAGAAGGTCTTCCGCTGAAGACGAAAGACCTTAATAGTGAGGGTAAAAAAGAAACCGAAGAATAATAGAAGGGTCTTCCGCTGAACACGGAAGACCTTAATAATAATAATAATAATAATAATGGTAAACAAGAGAACCATGGACCACATCGCTCACCTGAGCACTAAGGGTAGGAAAAAGTAGAAAATGGCTTTTTATTGTAAAGTTTAAATCCAAAAGTAGTCCAATGACCAATCATGGATTTGCTATTTTTAGAAAATGATTTTTAGAGAATTTTCCTATATATATCTTTAAAAACTTTGGTCGGTCATTTTGGCCCCGCCCTACCCCCGGGGGTCATGATTTGAACAAATTTGAATCTACACTACCTGAGCATGCTTCCATATAAATATGATGAATTATGGCTTTGTCATTCTTGAGAAGAAGATTTTTAAAGAATTTTCCTATATATTTCTATGTAAAACTTTGGTCGGCCATTTTGGCCCTGTCCTACCCCCGGGGGTCATGATTTGAACAAACTTGAATCTACACTACCTGAACATGCTTCCATATAAATATGATGAATTATGGCTTTGTCATTCTTGAGAAGAAGATGTTTAAAGAATTTTCCTATATATTTCTATGTAAAAATTTGGTCGGCCATTTTGGCCCCGCCCTACCCCGGGGGTCATGGTTTGAACAAACTTGAATCTACACTACCTGAGCATGCTTCCATATAAATATGATGAATTATGGCTTTGTCATTCTTCAGAAGAAGATTTTTAAAGAATTTTCCTATATATTTCTAGAATAATAGAAGGGTCTTCCGCTGAAGACGGAAGACCTTAATAATAATAATAAGAAGAAGAAGAAGAAGAAACAGAGTAAAATCAATATGTTCCCCAACTTTGTTTGGGGAACATAATAAAACTGTGTTATCGGCAAGCATATAAGCACAGTTAATAGAGTCTGACACGTTTTTATACTTACTGTAAGATGTAAAACGTATGTATTGCCGAAAATACAACCAATAGAGTTTTATAATGCAAGTACGTTGTTTGAAAATAATTCGATGAATTCAAATATCAAATACTTTATAAAAGCTTCTATAAGTTGTCAACTGTCTGTTTGGAGTAAAAATTAAAATTCATTTGCATAAATAAATATCTGAGTTCAATTACATAATGTTGTTACGTAGGTATCACACATCTTGCGACAGCTACATGTACATGCTGCAAAAATATTGACATAAACATTTGATTTAATTCAAGTTTCAGTGATCATTTATTAACTTAATACGTGTGCATCAAATCCATGTATTTGAGAATACACACCTATTAAGTTCAAATGGTTTAATTCTGCCTTACTTCTCGTATATTAACCCAGCGACAGTAACGTATGTATTATTTCAGTGTATTTAGAGACGTATTTCACTTGTGTTCTTTTTCCGATTTTGCTAATATTTGTATGTGTGTAATGGTCCGTGGTATATGTTTACTTGACCATACTCAAGAAATGCCCAGTATGTTAAGTTAATACTGAGGAACAAGTGCATGACATTAATTGCACATTATTACTGAGAATGGGTGGTTTAAATGATGTGCAGTTTATTTACGAGGTTGCTCCCACTTAATTTGCGTCTTAAGATCCTGCAAAAACTCAAAATATACCATTTCTTTCGTTTTTTAGCTCTAGTCTACTGGTCAGAGACCAGAAGAGCTTATGCGACAGTAAGGTGTCCGTCGTTCGTCCGTTTGTAAACAATATCAAAATGCTAGTCCTTCTACAGTTTTGGTCTGATTTCAGTATAACTTGGCACACAATTAGATTACACTAAGATACATACATGTAATTATGTGTATTGGTTTTTAATTTCGTAGAATGGTGTTGCCATAGTTACTAAAAATAGAAATTCCTATGAAATACTTTGGTCCGATTTCAATATAACTGGGCACACAAGTAGACTACAATAACTATTAAGATTCACAATTCTGTGTATCGGTTTTTGATTTCGGCCACTGTGACTAAAAATAAAAATTTCTTTGAAAAACTTTCAAAATGCTACCTCTTCTTCAGTTTTGGTCTGATTTAAATATAATGCAGCATTTCTGTAGATTACATGGAGATACATACTAATAACTCTCTTTATTGTTTTTTTCCCTTATTTTTATGAATGATGTCGCCATGGTAACTAAAATTTAAATGTCTGTAAGATTCCTTTGAAAGGTTACTCCTACAGTTGTTTAAGTCGTTTTGTAATCTTACCACAAAAAGATACTATATCAAAGACTATTATTCTGTTTATTGCTGTTTCAAGTCCAACTGCTACTTTTCTTAAGTTTTAAGGTATACCTTTACTCAGATGACCAAAAATTCCACTGATAAGAATGAAAAACCACCTATTGCACATTGTACACCAATGATTCTTGTGTTAAATTTCAATTTCAAATAACTAGGTCAATGACCTACTTTTCATGCTAGTGGCCCCTGAGTATTTCTCGGGAAATACCTCAATTTTTCACACTATGACCAATTTTTTCTATACACACAAAATATTACAAGCAACTAAACTCTTTAAATAATGAAATATTATAACAATGGAACAGCGTTGCTTCATATAAAGAAATGATTGGAGTTTGGGCCAGAAATGTGATAATTATAACAGTCCGAATTTCCTCTGTCATATTTATATTTTTTCCCCATTTTAAATCGAATATTACAAAAATCTGACTGAAAAGAACTCTAAACTATCTATAGCCTCAGATTACTTTTGATGCCCTAATTTTCATTGTATTAATATTATATGGGGTCAATGATCAAATTATTGAGATATATTGTCTGGAATGGTTTTTGTACATATTTTTGAATTTCTTTATTTCGTAGCATTCAATTATTTGAAATAATTTATGAGCTTTAACACATATAATATTTGCAAAATGATGTTTAAAAATACAATTAACCTTTACTTCGTGATTATTATTGAAAGAAATCAAAATTTTTGACAAAAATGAAAAATTAAAAATTTAGTCCGAATTTCCTCTGCATTACCATACATTGACTTTTGTACCTGTATATTTTCTTTAAATAATAGAATATTAAATTTTTTAATTGATTTCGATTTAAAACTTGCTTATTTTATCCATTTAGAACAATTTTTGATTTAACATATACTTTATAAAATTTCCTTTCTGTTATCTGAAACCTGAGTTAACGTCATCCTTAAGTACAAACCAGTAGAGCTACTGACTGACTTTAAATCTATACACGCAAGACATGTTTTTTTTTTTATTTCTTTAAGCCCCCGTCAGTTATATTTGGGTAGAATTTTGCGTGATTGTCAGTTGGCAATTCAAGATACCGTTTGTTTAAATAATAAGTAGGTCATACGGATGCAAGAAATTGCCGTTTTTAAATTTAAAAGGCGGTCGTAACTCTTAATAAAAAGTTAAAACATTTATATTTTGTAAAAATAGACATTCGTCTGCACCTATTAATTAGCAGAACTCCGTCACCTTGCAATAAATACTTGCATTTCACTCCAAAAATGATAAAAATACTAATTCAGTTTTCTTATCTTCAATAAAACAATGTACTATCGCTTCGAATTTTCAAATTAAAAAAGCGATCGCAACTTTCGGCTGCATTTCATTTCCGGAATTTTTGGTAATTATCAACTTTTCATTTCCGACACTTTTTAGTTTTCATTTCCGACATTTCTTTGTTTCATTTCCGACATTTTTCATATACATACGTAGTGCCTATAGTAACAGATTTGATAACATCACTTATGAAAAATATAAAGGAATAAATCATAAATAAATCGTTCATGGGGAGCGGTTCGGGCCGAAAACCATTGGCTAGCGAAGATGATGTATAGCTCTTTGTTTCTTGTTTTTTAGGTCACCTGAGTAACTCAGGTGACCTATTGCTATCCGTTTTCGACCGTCGTCGTGCGTCGTGTGTCGTGCGTCGTGTGTTAACATTTGAACATTTTCAGCTTCTTCTCTGAAACCGCTCAACCATTTTCAACCAATTTTGGCACAAAGCATCTATGGGTAAAGGGGAACAAAAATTGTGAATTTTATGGTCCCCGCCCCCCTGGAGCCTGAGGTGTGGGGCCAAAACCACTAAAATTATTGCAATCTTTAAAAATCTTCTTCTTTACTCCTGAACATCAAGCAGGCAAACTGTTGGTATGAATGTAATGAGCATTAAGCCCTCTACCAAAATTGTGAAATTCATGGCCCCAGGGTCAGGGGCTCTAGTGCTAGGGCGGGGCCCTATTGATTATACAGTGAAAATGCATGATTTCTTTGAAAATCTTCTTCTTTGCTCCTGGGTATTAAATAAACTAACCAAGCACATAGTTATGATGAGCAAGAGTGCCTCTTCCAAAATTGTGAATTTTATGACCCCAGGGTCAGGGGTTCTGGTGTTAGGGCGCGGCTCTATTGGTTATATAGTGAAAATGCATTTATTCTTTGAAAATCTTCTTCTCTACTTCTGGGTATTAAATAAACTATGTAAGTAAATAGTTATGATGAGCAAGAGTGCCTCTTCCAAAATTTTGAATTTTGTGGCCCCAGGGTCGGGGGTTCTGGTGTTAGGGTGAGGCCCTATTGATTATATAGTGAAAATGCATTAATTCTTCGAAAATCTTCTTCTCTGCTCCTGGGTATTAAATAAACTATGTAAGTAAATAGTTATGATGAGCAAGAGTGCCTCTTTCAAAATTGTGAATTTTGGGGTCCCAGGGTCAGGGGTTCTGGTGTTAGGGTGGGGCCCTATTGATTATATAGTGAAAATGCATTAATTCTTTCAAAAATTTTTAAAGAATTTTTCCAAATATTCCTATGTAAACCTTTGATCGGCCATTGAAGCCCCGCCCTACCCCCAGGGGTCATGATTTGAACAAACCTGAATTTACACTACCTGAGAATGCTTCCATATAAATATGATCAGTCATGCCTTTGTCTTTCTTGAAAAGAAGATTTTTAAAGAGTTTAAATATTTTCTTTTTAAGAATAGCAAAGGCATGAATAAGATAGTGTAGATTCAGGTTTGATCAAATCATGATCCCTGCGGATAGGCGGGGCCACCATGGCGGATCAAAAGAACTATATGCGGCATATTGCATATATTTGCCCCCATAAAAATCAAATTTTGAAAACTTTCTGAAATGTGCTGAATTCAATCAATTGTATGAGAAATATAAATTACCAGAAAATATTATAGTTTCAAAGCAGTGTATTCACAATTTTTGTTTTTATGACGTCACAAACTAGTGCGATTTTATATCCTTTTTCAGAAAGAGGACAAAATGGACAAAATGGACAAAATTTCAACAATTTAAGCTTTAAAATTTATAGAGCGCAAGTTTGTTCAGGAACAATATTGACATATTTCATTGATATTATCATTCTACACATTATATCAAAATATTGATCCTGAACACACATGCGCTCGGTGAGTTTTACTCAAAATATCGACGAAATATGTACATTTTTCTGTAAAATTCATAAAAAACTGAAATTTACGTCATGTTTGTGACGTCATTACGTACTTATGACGTCATTACTTTTGAAAATATTCAGTGCTTTGAAGTCAGCATATACTTCCCTGTTTAAGAACTTAATTAAATATATCTCTATTAAAGTTTGATTTGGGGGGCAAATATTGGTTATTACCGAATAAAGTTCTTTTACAATATATAGAAAAATTCTTTAAAAATCTTCTTTTCAAGAATAGCAAAGGCATGAATAATCTTATATACGTATATATATGGAAGCATCCTCAGGTAGTGTAAATTCAGGTTTGATCAAATCATGATCCATGGGGGTAGGGCGGGGCAACAATGTAAGTTCAAATGTAAGGGACAATATAGCCCCAGGTAGTCTCAGAAAATTGCAAGCATCCTTAGTGTAGATTCAAGTTTGTTTAAATCATACATGTACCCTCTCCCCTTTAAGGATTGGTTGGGACCACTTTTAGGCTTAAACTTTTCAATAATAAACTGATTTCTGCTTTTTTCCAAGGTACAGTGTTCATATCCCTGAAATAATCCCTTAATCTCCCCTTCTGATTCAGGCATATTGATCATTTATTCTCTCTCACCGGAAAATTTCCTTCTACAAAAAAAATGTAAGGTTAATCAGTGCAAAAGGATACCCCGTCCAAAATAAAATCAAACAAAAAACCCCCACTCAGTTATGCTATATCAGGACTGCAAAAGTTATATGAGCTGACTGAATGTGGCTGAAAGGCACATGTAGCAGATGTACAGCATTTATTAACCGACGCACATGTATGTAAAAAAAAGGATACCTACCGTTTATAAAATATCTGTATCTTTTGGAAGATAATTAAAGCAATTCAATCACAGGCTTATTGGTCAGCAATTCCTCTCTTCAAGACATTCTCTTTCCTTCTCTCCAAACAATATGGAGTGCCAAAAAAATTATATATTTGTAGCGAAGCGAACGATAACTCTTGGTAGAGATTGCTGCTTATAAATTGGGTCTACTAGTTACGATCATGCAAGGAATACGGTATACTACAAAAAGAGGGGAAAGGAGAAATACAGTAAAATAAGTCAATAACTTCGATTTTTATCATAAAATTTGATATAAATATGAAATTCTAAATTGAAGAATGAAATTTAACGTTTTAGGTCTACTGAAGTCCATACTTTGTGATTATTTAACGACCTGATGCCTTTTATCTTTCACATGTTTTTACATCCGAACTGTTATTCATGTCATTCGACACACCGCTTTTCTTTACAAATTCATCTGCAACACTTTCACGTTTTACTCGTGTGAAAATAAACAACGTATCTGTGGTTTGTGCCTGAATTAACTGTAGACATAATTGATGCAATTCTGTTCTCAAGTTGTTATTCATTGTGAGCATTTTCTGAGATACTGATGTATTGCTCTTGATATTTTCTTTTGCGGATGCATCTACTGGATCATTCGGTCGCGTAAAATTCTAAGAAAATATGAAAAACTAATGGCAGGTATGACTTTCCATAGAAAAAAATATGCAAACAAGTGTACACTTCGACCGTGCGAAATAAGTTATCCTTACCAGGAAAACTTTGATCTCAAGCCCCAAGGATCAAATGTTTCGACGGATTTCTACGTCCTGGTCTTTTACTTCTGATGACTTGGAATGAGCACATCATGATTGATTGATTATTTTTTAACGTCCCTCTCGAGAATTTTTTACTCATGTGGAGACGCCACAACTTGCAAGTGGAGAGCTGCAAATGTCCTATACTCGCCACTCAGGGCCATTAAGCAGGGAGGGATTTTTATCGTGCCAGCACCTACTGCGACATAGGACCTCGGTTTATACGGTCTCGTCCGAAGGACCGGTCTCCGAGTCCCACAGTGGGATTCGAATCCACAACGTAAGGATCAACTCCTTACTTTGCGACTCTAGAGCAGACGTTCTAACCACTGCGCCACGCGGGCGACGAACACATTGTGAAACACGTTTAGTACGAACACCAGATATTGCAAATTCACGGATATAGCGAAGTCATCTCGGATCCCAAGCTATATAAATTTAATGAACAAACGTTGACGAAGGCAATAACTCCTCAGATATATTCATTCAGGCATTCAAAATAGTTTCCCTTTTGCAATAATTTAATTGTATTAAATGAAAATAAATGCAGTTCTTTTGACTTTGAACTATTAGAATTGTGAGGATTGAAAGACCTTAACATAAAATAAAATATATAAGCAACTTACACTGTAGGTAGCAGGGGTTGTAAAGGGACAGCAAATTCCACGTTCTAGTATGGCGGCAATCTCGGAAACAAATAAGTCGTACAACAAATGTACCCCGTACCTGAAACTATTGTATAAAATTAAGTAAATTATTAAGATAATTAAAAGGAGGCCATAACAAATAAGCTCGTTTGAAAGTGCATTAAATTTTGTACAGCCAAAAAGCTTGTGACAAAAAGTTGAAAAAAAAATGATTTATTGTTATTTGTAGGTGAATATAATCAAAATAAGTGTGGTCCACTAGATCCCTCCTGTCAACCCTGTTCTGAGAGACTGCCTAGTTGTGTTGGAATTACTGATGGTTTTCAGCCTGTGTCTGGATACATATGGACAGACAGATACATGGAGTGTCAAATGAATCGGACCATAAGTATTTATCATTGTTCTCCAGGATGGGTCTTCAATCCATTTACTGGTGCCTGTGTACAATATGTTATGCAGAGTAAGTATATCCTTGAATAATTCTTTAAAGTAAGTTCACAAATTAAAGTGTTTTTTTAACTAAATAATTTAATTCTGGTTGTAACGCTGTATTTGATTGGATAAAAAATTTACTTTATATCGTATAAAATGGGTTGCCTACGTCACAATGACTTGCGTCAAAAACGTATCAATCCGTCTGACGTTACATTCAAATTTTGTACAAATTGAAGTCATTTTGTTAGAACAATCATCTTTTTTTCTTACATCAAATGAATGAAAATTAAAATATAAGCAATGAAATTAAAAGCTACCCATTTTATACGGTATAAACTGGGTTGGAACAGCTTACGCTTTTATATAAACCGCTTCGCGGTTTAGAAAGCGTAAACTGCCCCAACCCAGTTTATACCGTATAAAATGGGTAGCTATTAAATTCATTCCTTAAATCGTCGCCATAGAAGCAAAAGGTCGTAAGTCTGTGCATCATTTGATTTCAAATAAGAGAGAAAAATGAAAAAAAAACTGTTTCATTCGTGGAAAAACTAAAAGTGATCTTTCAAACTTTTCAGTATTGTGCAGAGTAGCTAAATATCTTAAGATAGTGATTAAAAAGTTTAAAAATGCGTTTTATACCATTATTTTTATTAATTTTTTACACATATGACCTTTTGCCTTTGAAATATAAAATTAATTTTATGGGGATTAAGATCGTAACTTCCACATACTACCTTTCTGCATATAAGTAATAAGAACATTACCATTAATTTAACTTAAGTGAATCATGATTTATTGACAATATGTTTTTATTACAACGTTTATCATGTTACTCAACTAAAGGATAACGGTTTATATGTGTTTTCGTATATTTGCTACTAAATCAAAACAAGAAATATGCTTTAAAATTTATTTATCAAAACAACCTCCTTAATACAGGAACCTATTAATTTTTATAAACTGAATCAGCAGTTTGATAAAAACAATGAAAATAAAAAATAATAATGACATCAAAAACAATTTGAGTTATTGTACATTATCACTTAATTTGAATGCTTATGTAGGGAAACATTAAAAATATGTAGTTTTTTTGCTCTTAAGAATTGTTACATAATGTTAACTTGTTATGCTGACCCTTAGTCTCCAATTCTTAGCATCTGAAAAGATAATGAGCAAGAAAATTGTTCATCAAGTAGGTTAATATTTAAACAATAACATTATGTGTAATGAAATAATAATAGGCTTCTGGATGATTTACAATTTGGAGTATTTGAAATGCTACTTGGCATAAAAAACAAAAAGACTTAGTAAACAAATTGAACAGCAAAAGAGTGTTCCTGTCATGATATTTATGGAAATACCAGTCAATCTGAATCGTCGTTTTCATCAGGTTCCTCCAGCATGTTGCAGACACTTCCCTTATGAGGGAGCTGGGAATAGAAATTGTGGTAGATTCGTGGAATGACATTTTTCTTGCACAGACTCATTAAGTCCTTGAATTTGGCATCTGAGATTGGAACTAAGGAGGGGTAGAGAGGTTTCAGATGATACTTTTTCATGTTTTTAAGTTTGGCCCCTCTGGTTCGTCCACTTCGAATATCAATGGAATTATATTCTGGCTGACTGATTTCGTATTTAAAAAATATCTTGGTTGGCTCTTCCTTTCGATACTGGAATGAATGAATATTATTCCATTTTACTCTCGATCCATCTTACGCGTGGTTCCTGTTGCCTATGCAATCATCTGTAAGCTCTTTGAAATCCATAACTTTCTCATTCTCCAACTCTTTCACTTCATACCTAGGGGGCTTTACTTTCGCATTGCGGACACCATGCATCCAATCACTGGGTGAAAACATCTCTGAGTGTTTAGTTGATCTTTCAATCACGGCATGGACAGAATCCCCCTCCATCTGTGAGTGTCCCCGTTCAAAATAATTGTGTGTTATTTTTTGTATGGGAAAATTAACAACAGAGTAGAGGCACATTCCACTAAATGGTAAATTTCTCTGCTGGCCAGTGCAACTATCTGAATAGTACACTAGTTCTTCAACTGATCCAACACTTCTGTTGTACTCTAGCAGACAGGAAGCTATTTCACAACTTCCCCGCTTTGCTATGGTTTCCCACCACATGTTACAAACAGTTTCTTTGGTAACAACATCAAATATAGTGAAGTTGTAAGTAGCAAGTTTTCTGCTGTAGTACAGTTCATTTATTTGAGCCTTGAGGGTAACAAGTACCTTCTGCAAATCAAAGTTTATGGTCTTGATCATTTCATTCTCTGTTGCTCTTTGTTTATCTTCTTGTTTTTTCATTCTTGCTTCCTGCTTTCGTTGCTGATGCTTTTCAAATTCATGCTTATTTTCCTGTTTTTTCTTTTTCTGACATTTTCCCATATGCATCACAAAATGAACAGATATCCTTTTTTGGTTTGTGAAACCCTAAGTTGAATTCGGTCGCAAAAATTTTATCATACAGCCAGAATTTTTGTGCCTCCTTGTGATCGTCTTTACATTTTTCGACGTACAGATTATACATTTTTTTAATGGAGAGAGAGCTGTCCAAATATTCTCGCTGAGTTGATTTTCTACAATAGTGCGATTCTGTTTTTGGAAATGAACGAATATGTTCCCTGATTAGCTGTTTGTCTTCATCAGCAATTTTATTTTTTGGAACATGTTTCCCCCTATTGTCTGTGGAAGTGAAGGGGTTCTTTTTCTTCTTTAATGTGTAGGTTACAGTTTTTTCACCAATATCTAGTGTTCCTAAAAATGTCTTTTTGCACACCTCCACCTTACATTCATCAAGAGGCAGATAGTAGTGAATTGTATGTTTTCTTCTTGACTCTTCTTCTGGATTTTTTGTCTTTCTTCGCTTTTCAGTCATTATTGCATTAGATCTTATGAAATATCTTTGGCGATCGTATGATAGGCTCCAGTAATTTTGAAATATTTCTGACATTTTGCTATTTGTTATTTTGTTTAAGCATTTGTACTTGCATTTACACGTTAATTCCCTTGATTTCCTTGCAGGAATTACAATGCCTCTGTTGTTTGTGTATGTTTTTCCTTTGTTTCGTAAATTTTTGGTTCTGTTTCGTTTCCATTCAGATGGATTTCTTTGTTTTCTTCTTCTTGATTTCATTTGACCTGATATACTAGACGAGGATTCATTAACACTGTTATTGTTGTTGTCTTCAAGTTTATCTCTGTCTGCCTTTTTCTCTACTGTCACTGTATTCTCTTGTGTCCTCTCTACTGCCACAATGTTCTCTTGTGTTTTCTCTACTGCCACAATGTTCTCTTGTGTTCTCTCTACTGTCACTATGTTCTCTTGTCTTTTCTCTACTGTCAATGTATTCTCTTGTGTCCTCTCTACTGCCACTATGTTCTCTTGTGTCCTCTCTACTGCCACTGCATTCTCTTGTCTTTTCTCTACTGTCAGTGTATTCTCTTGTGTCCTCTCTACTGCCACTGTGTTCTCTTGTGTCCTCTCTACTGCCACTATGTTCTCTTGTGTCCTCTCTACTGCCACTGCATTCTCTTGTCTTTTCTCTACTGTCAGTGTATTCTCTTGTGTCCTCTCTACTGCCACTGCATTTTCTTGTCTTTTCTTTACTGTCAGTGTATTCTCTTGTGTCCTCTCTACTGCCACTGTGTTCTCTTGTTTCCTCTCTACTGCCACTGTGTCCTCTTGTGTCCTCTCTACTGCCACTGCGTTCTCTTGTGTTATCTCTACTGCCACTGTGTCCTCTTGTGTCCTCTCTACTGTCACTATGTTCTCTTGTATCCTCTCTACTGCCACTATGTCCTCTTGTGTCCTCTCTACTGTCACTATGTTCTCTTGTGTCCTCTCTACTGTCACTATGTTCTCTTGTGTCCTCTCTACTGCCACTATGTCCTCTTGTGTCCTCTCTACTGCCACTGCGTTCTCTTGTGTCCTCTCTACTGCCACTGTGTCCTCTTTACTGCCACTATGTCCTCTTGTGTCCTCTCTACTGCCACTGCGTTCTCTTGTGTTCTCTCTGCTGTCACTATGTCCTCTTGTGTCCTCTCTACTGCCACTGTGTTCTCTTGTGTCCTCTCTACTGCCACTATGTCCTCTTGTGTCCTCTCTACTGCAACTGTGTTCTCTTGTGTCCTCTCTACTGCAACTGTGTTCTCTTGTGTTCTCTCTGATACATTGTAATCTTGTGTATTACCAAAGGTTGATACATCATTGACTTTTGTGTTTTCTTTTTCATTGGTGGTTTTACAGGACTTTTTATTACCCGTATATTTTTTCTTTTTCAAGTGTTTATTCATAAGTTTTCTGTATTTTGCCAACGGGATATCGTCGCTATCTGAATCATTACTTTTCCCTTGGAAAGCTTGACATAATATGAGATCCTCCTCACTGTCAAAGTCTTTCTCAGGTTCTGCCATATCAAAAATTTTGCGCAATATGGTCAGTTTCTAAATGTTCTTTAACTGTTTTGTTTCTGTATTTTATCTTATCACAGAGTGCATCAAGTCTCATTCTTCCATTAACTACATGACTGGCCCACATTAATTTTATTTCAGTGGAGATAGAGGGTTGTAATACTTGCTCTCTTAGAGTTGTACATGCAAAGGTATAGTCGTTAGACACTTTCTCCTGCTGAGCCTCTAATTCTCTTAATGCTACAAGGATTTGCAATAATCACACTCTGTCATCCGTGGTAGTTTCAACCTTTTGCATACAAAAAAACTGAATTATGATTTGACTTTCACTGGCAATTATTCACACAATGGCGATACAATAAAAACACTATTTTTAATTTAGACTTTTTAAAGCCTTTTTATACCTGTCTATTTCAAAACAATAACTCAAATTTTGTTTCACTTACGACCTTTTCATATAATAAAGTGTTTACAATAAAATTCATTATTCAAATAAAACCTTTTTGAAACAACATGCATTATATAATTGTAATAAGGGGTAATTTCTTGTTTATATTGATATTTGAAGTAAAATCTTAAGTTTTTATTTAATTTTTTTCTC